TTTTAAATTAAAAATAAGAGGGTTTTTTTAGATTTTAAGGCAAACTTATGTGTTTAGTCTGCTAAGAGATGCTGTCTACCATGAAGGATTGAGTCACCACTAAGCATAAAGCTAAATATGAAAAGTTCACTGAAGTTGCAAGTACATGAACAGCAGATATTTTACCAGAACCATAGCCACGCAGGAGTCTGCACTCAAAGTATCGTATGCTATTGCACTTCAGCTTGCTAAAGTTAGAGTTTATTTTTTGTTTGCTGTAAACATTTTGTATTCATAACCTAAACATGCATATATGACATTGAATTACGGCACCGTATGTCGGTTTAATAAACAGTATAGACATACAAAGACTGTTTAAAATGTCAGTTTTATTACATTTGGGTCAGTGTGCAGCATTATGTGGTCCTCTGGTAGTGTTAACACTAAATTGTAGCATCCTTCCATCATTCAAGTTGCCCATCCTTGTTTTAAAATGTAAAGAAGCATTGTTTGATTATATGGTAAATTGGCCTGCCAAACCCCGTTTTGCTGTAAACCTCCATTGCGTATTCTTGATCCCATAGATCCGCCCACAAAGCAAACCTTTGCTCCGCCCAATCATGACATGCGCGCAGATTTTATCGGGAGCGCGCTTTCTTTACAGTCAGAGCTGGTCTATCCTGGGTAGAGAGTGGTCGCATTTTTATATCCTAGGAAACACAGGAGACACCCTCTTCTCACAGCACAAACCGTGCCTGGAGTCGCGTGGCGTCTTTTACTTCATCCGAACCAACAAACTCTGACTTCGCATTAAATATGTCTAATATGGTTTGYCGTCAAAAGCCTCAGGTAAGAAAATTTATCTTGYTTTATTATTATTTTTACCTCTTTGTGCTTCCTAACGTCGTTCATTGTTAAGTATCTGGGTGTTAACCGTGCTAAGAACTCCTTTTCTCCTCTTCATTCAGGGTTAATCTTATTTTAAAATTAATTCTTCCTCTCTGGTTGAGAGGCARTAGGAAACCGCTGGAATCGGCTCTGTGTGTAAAGACGCGCGAAAAATGTTAACACAAAACCGCCTATTTCCGCTATAAAGAGAACATTGGGCARTTGTTGGCGAATAAAGGGTAAAAACCTCGCGAATTCACTTAAATCCTCCACATAGGTTCGTCGTGGTTTATTCAATTAATTAAACCGTCGTGGCTCTCCCATCCTCCCGTTAGCAAACCCGTCTCCTTGTTTCCGATCCACATCTGTTCAAGCTCAATGTCGCTTTATTATTTGTGCTGTCTTTCTAATCAGTGTCAAAGTCGAGTTATCCTAATGATGTCGGGTACTTAATTTGGGGAGTCTCCCGTCTCTGACCCACATTCCGGTAGCGGACTCCGGTAGACCTCTGGCTCCTAGCCAGWCATCACGGCCTTGCTAACACTAATTCGGATCTCGTGAACGTGTCTGTGTTAGCTTCCATGATCGTGCCCTCTGGGTGGGGGGGATGGTACATCAGCGCCATATGTCTCAAATAACTGTCTCAGAGGGTTAAATCTATATATTAAAATACTTAAATGTGTCTAAATTAATTTTAGGTAGTGTGGGAGCGTGTAAAAAATCACGTTTCTGGGTCGTAGATTTGCCAAACGCTGACGCAGTGTTTGACCTATTGTGCTGTTAATCCGGTTCCGAGGATGTGGCAACCACGTGGAGAAATCTGAAATAACTTAATTAAATAAAATACGTTTTTGACAGCTTATTTTGAGACTATTTTGAGATTGAAATGAGGGGGGGAAAAGGGAGTGGTTACGTTGATTGAATTAAGTTGCCTCGTTTTTGACGTGCAGGCTGATGGGGGTGTTTCCTCCACATTTTTGACGTCTCCATTTTTTATCCGGACCAGTTTTCGAGGTTAAATCTGATTCTTCATCGGTATCATGAGTTGTTGTTTTTTTTTTACCCCCTCCCCCCTGAAGCTCTGTAGAATTTGTTGTGCTGCATACAAGCGTTTTTACTGGTTTCTCGTTAATGTTCAATTGTAAGCCGTAAATTTCCACTCAGTTAAAAGCTGATGAAATATTCGTCAATGCCTCGTTTGGCCACTGGATGGCAGTCTAACAAGCATTGATTGTTCAGCCTCAGAGCTGCACTTTTGTGCCTGTTTAATCGGATGGAATAATTATGGGGTGGAAATGCATTCAGAGCTACTCTTTGTGACAAACTAGTGGACAGTCTTAACTTTTTATTATTTATTTCAGATGACTGTTCTTTTTGTCTGATTGCCTTTTTTATGTACCCCGCYCAATCTATAGCAGAGCCAACCATGAACCTCCTAACCACTTTGTTTTTATATTTATGTGTTTGAGCAATAAAATAATTTAGACTAATTGTTTTTGCATATTTAATGTGCAATGGGCATGGGTTTTATTYAGTCAATACTGAAAGCTTGGTTGCTGGTTCTGCCAGGAATGCTGGTAATGGTACAAAAACAACAGCTGGGATTGAGATGGAAACTCTGTGTTAAAGAACAGTCTAGAAAGTTGGGGGTGGGGTTTGCCTGCTAGAGCTGTTAGGTGGTGAAAATGAAGAGGCAGTGAACTTGTGTGGCGGACCCAGGCATCTGGAGGGCATGAGCTTTTTGGGGGAGTCTCCGGCCAGATGTTGTGTAACAACCCAAAACCAGGCCAGTGCCCTTTCTATTAACATGCAGGGGAGGGGTTTTAGAAACCTTCCTGAAAGTGCAGCTCAGTGATTTTAACRTGCACTATTTGCATTTTAGAACTTACATTTTTCATTGATAGTGGCATATTTTTTTTTTTGCGTACTTCATTTAATATTTCTAATGGRTTTCACATCAGCTGGCCTGGAGGTAACAGCTAGACTGCCCTGTCGATTTAAACAAACCRTTATCTGCTGCCAGTCGGTGTATTTTGTCCTGTTTAAGGCTGGGTAATCCCATCACAACATCTGATCGTGATCACAATTCTGATCATGAGGATAATGCACTTGCAAGTTTAGTAGGCCATTGGAAAAATGTCTGGCATTTTTCACACCCATTRCCCTCAGCAGGTTTTGCACACATATTATTGATTATATACTGAGAAGGCAATATCAGTGTCGCAGAGCAAAATAGCTTTTTTCAAAATGTGCACAGCCTTTTTTCTCCTTGGTAAATAAATGTCAGAGTGAAATATTTAGTTTACATGCCTTTTAGTATCTTTCCAACAATACTTTTTTTTTCCAGACTAGACATACGTAGTAATCACAAACATAAATGTAGATGAAGCTTTCTGTCACAGTGCCATTGACTCTGCACACAAATTAGATTTTAAYAATTAAATTTCATGTTAAATCACATGCTGATGTGAGGAATATAAAACTAACAATAGCTCGAGCAACATAGTTACCCTGCTTCCCTGCCTCGGTCTTAAAACTGGTTTTGTGGGTGGTTTTCACCCACGTGTGGGAAGAGTAGTAAACATGCAGCGTTTGAGCAGATGACAACTTCTTTTTTTTTTAAAAGGCTGTATTCCTAAAAAAAAAAACCCAGCCCATGTATCGAGGGGTGTGCAGCCCGTGGGGTTTCAGAGATCTAACTTCAGAGAGCTGATTGAACGTCTCTCCTGGCCTGTCGGGATGTAGCAGCAGGTGTGCAGATTTTATAAAGTGTAAGGTAGGAATAGCAAATGAACTGACAGGGTTTCTTATGATTTACCAGCAAACTTGGTTAAAATATCTGAATCAAGCTCYGTTTCCAAATTCAAGGTGGATTATGTTGCCTAATAGAGGGACTAAGACGTCATCAAACAGACTCTGTGAAACGGATTACTGTTGAATTTTGTATGCAGTGTGACAGCAGCTCTTCTGCGTGTCAGGAAGAGGCTTTTTAACGGGATTCTCTGTATGGAAAAGAAAACTGGAGGGTGGTTTTTAACCGGCATCCTGTGTCTGAGGTTGCCTCATTTACCATGTGGAACTGACTCATACTTGCACTGCTATCTTGCCAAAAGCAGACAGGGTCAATTTCAAATGTCAAAAAAAAAAGGCAAACCTCAACTCTGTTTTTCTCCTTTTTTCCCCCTTTTAGGTTATAATATATGACCAACACAGGATAAGTACTACTCTATAGCCAACGGGATCCCGAGGACTTGATTACAGTCGCTTTAAGCCTGATAGTTTGTCCGCACGGCTGCTCCCACTCTCCCTTCTACGCACGGCTGTCATCGGCTGGCATCTCTTCTAACAAGTCCCCTCTCCGTGGGTGAAGAAGTCCAAGTTCCACTGCGATCTTGGTCTGCTTTGCCTACTTCCTACATTTGGTTCCTGTTCTACTCTCAGCAGTGGCGYTTTCCTGGATTTGGATTACTCCCTATTAGGTAAGCCTATGACTAATGCATAGGACTGATAAATCRCTGTGCACATTCYGGGCGCCTAATTCTAATTCTCTCTGTAATAGATGGCTTTTATTGATTGATGACCAGTGTTGCACAGCTTAATAGGGTGTTGTGCGCTCAAGAAGACATGTATGCTTGTTGTTACTTCATGTGGGATATTCTTTTTAATATATTTTCAGAAATTCAATAAAAAAATTTRCCAACATGACTCCAAACGGTTATTTGATCTTCGAGGATGAGAGCTTCCTGGATTCCACGGTGGCCAAAATGAACGCTTTGAGAAAAAGTGGTCAGTTCTGCGACGTGAGACTGCAGGTATGGTTACTTGTGTAAACATTTTTATCTATTTTGACKTTTTTTGTTTAATAAAACCTGYTTTAACCTTTTTATTTAACATGACAACCCACAATGATCGTAAATCTCCTTTTCAAGGGCCTGAAGGCAGCTTTAATGGATTAATGGATTAGCATTTTTATGAAAATAACAGAAATATTGCCCACTTCAGGCCTTGTACAATCCTTTTTAGAAGACATTCTATTCATAAAAATGGCGGTTTCTGTTTGTCACTTCAACAAACTGGACCAGCTTCTGATTTTTGCTTCCTTTCTCCAGGTGTGTGGTCAYGAGCTGATGGCTCACCGTGCCGTTCTGGCCTGCTGCAGTCCGTACTTGTTTGAGATCTTTAACAGTGATATTGAGACTCCTGGAATCTCACATATCACTTTTGAGGACTTAAACCCAGATGCTATAGAGATCTTGCTCAACTATGCCTACACTGCCCAGTTAGTATTCATTTCAACCTTTCGTTTGCTGCCTGGTTTGGATCTAATGTCTGCCAAACTCTGAGCTGAAACCACTTTTTTGTTTTGTAATGCAGACTGAAAGCAGAAAAGGAGCTGGTCAAGGATGTGTACTCGGCAGCCAAAAGGTTCAAGATGGAGCGAGTCAAACAGGTTTGTATTTAAACATCAKCTCTCCCAAAAACAAATGTGCTCTCGCTCATAACACTCAAATCACAAGTGCCAGTGTAATAACGGAGTCTTGGTATYTTCACCTCCTCAGATTTGTGGCGACTACCTGCTGTCTAAAATGGATTTCCAAAATGCCATCTCCTTTCGAAACTTTGCCAGCTCTATGGGAGACCCCAGACTTTTGGCAAAGGTGGACGGTTACATCCAGGACCATCTGCTGGACGTGTCTGAACAGGAAGACTTCCTTAAACTCCCCAGATTAAAGGTAATGGCCCAAACTTGTATGTTAATTCTTTTCTGTTGGATAAATCRTGGTGGTGATTACAATCTTCTTATGTTTACAGTTAGAGGTGATGCTTGAAGACCACTTGACCCTGCCCAGCAATGGCAAACTCTACTCGAAGGTGCTAAACTGGGTGCAGCGTAGCCTTTGGGAGAATGGCGACCAACTGGAGCGACTGATGGAAGAGGTCAGTATCGACTGTCGGACCAGTTCTTTGGTCCTACTTTCCCTTTCCTCTTCCTCCTCCTCCTGTTTTGTGACATTGCGATGTCATTGAAAGGACTGCAGTGGAACTGGCATGCCGATGTCACGCTGCTTTGTCAGGATTGTTCTTTTTGTTTTCCTCTGATTTGAGGTTTTTGCAGTAAGAAACTCTGTATGCCTGATCCATACTTCAAATTAGAGGTGAGCCAAAAGAGCTGCTCATTTGCTCTTGTTTTTCTTTTGGGTTGGTTTCTAGTGTTTCTGAGTATGTGCTGGGTTTACACACAAACCCGTGTTAGTATTACAGGGCTCGTCTCATCTGAAACACAAACTCAAAAGGTTCCCAAAGGTCTGGTCCTTGATTATTTTATTTTATATTGTTTTTTTTGTTTGTTTGTTTGCTTTCTCACTGCCCCTTTTATTGTCTGAACAGGTGCAAGTTTGTTGCTCCAGCACTAACAGGCACTCCTCCCCGTTGATTTTTCCTGTAGGTTTATTATCAGCAGCAGGAGACCAGACTGAGGAGCCACGACTGAGGCCACCAGGGTAAATGAGTCAGAGAAAAGAGGGAGGAGAGGAGTACTACTACTGCCTCTCAGCCGCCCCTCTTTGCAGCCAAGCAGCATTGTGGCCCCATCTGTTTCCTCCACACATACAGATAAATCCCATTCCTCTCCGTTTACTAGAGCACATTACTCAAACATTTATCAGACTGAATGTCCCCATTTTATACCACATTAGTTATTTTCATGCAGGTCTGCGTGTTCATTAGCACATTCATGAACCACCCACATTAGTCATTRAACTGAATGATTGTGCTCAAGCATTTTTATGTAGTAGATTATAAATGAAATTAATATTTTTAAACCAATGTTTATTTTTTTCTTCTTTGCTTTTAAATTTGTATGATGAGCAGCTGCGTGACTTTTATTATTTTTTGAAGTATTTATTTTAGTATTAAGTTTTTGCCTGAACAGAATACACAAAGTTTGATTTTACTTGATGGGATTATTAGTTTTAAGGTGTTTTTTTTTCTTCTGGATTTTGCTGCTTTTTGTGACTGCCATCTGTGAACAACATTTCCAGCCTAAAGACCCGTTTCCAAGCCGCAGGGAAGACGAGAGGGCCACGCGCAACTCCTCCTGTTTGTTGAAGATCTTTCCAGAAGCAGCCTCTATTTTCCCCAAATTCTTTTTTTTTTTTTTTTTGTAGATGCAAACAAAGGAGACCCACTGACACAGTCGGCAACTCCTTTCTTGAGCTCAAACTCTTAACCCCCCCACCCCCAACCTCCACAGCAGCAGTCTGCATCTTCAAAGAGAAGATTATTCCATCCAGCTGAAGATTCAGACGTTTGTCGTTTCYCCCCCTCTATTCCTCCTGACAACTCTGCTGCTCCCCCCTCCTCTTCTTCCYTTTTTTTGTGCTGGGGTTCTCAGTGTGTTGCCTTGGAGACAGACAGCCACATGGGTGTGTTGTTCCTGTTTGTCTTTCAGGTGCAAACGCTCTACTACTCACCTGACCATAAGCTGGTGGATGGAGGGCTGGTGATTGAGGGGCACAGTGAGGTGTTTGGTGGCGAGGAGGACCACCTCCAGTTTGTGCAGGTACCCCTGCGCTTTGCTTATGAAGCATCTATTGTGGTGTGACATTTAGTGTGATAAATTCTCCCTGGGCTTTATGATAAGATACAACTCTATTTGTATTTGGCTTAAATGTGGYTCATTAACAGCCTTGTTGTAAGAACAGATGTCAGACTGGCAAAGTGGTAGCTATAGTACCTGACTGGTAACGAAGCYGATTTTAATGTTTAGTTTAGGATTGGTGCAGAGTGCCTTCTTTATGCTCCATTTTGAGTCGTAAAGAATTAGCAGAAAAAAATCAGTGTGCTGTAATGTGAAGACAGGGTTCCTGCGAATCCTTAAAAGGCATTGAATTCATCAATCCAAAATTAAGGTCTTAATTAGCCTTAAAATGTCTTAAATCAATCTTTCAAAAGTCTTAAAAATGCTAACACATTGTATATAGGCTGACTTTAATTTGTCTCAAATATTCAAATAATTGGTAACATTAATTTTAAGCATTCACATGCAGACATTCCCCTTTGACATCACTTCCTGTTGCTTCCCATGCAAATATCTCAACAACCGTCTGTCTGAGCAACGTGAAATTCGTTTCATAATATGTTAACAATTTTGTCTTTCCAAAAATGTATTCACATTTCTTACAAAAAAAATTGATGTCAAAGGCACTTTAGGTGGGCACTGTGGTACTAAAACCCCAAATTCTGTGTCGTTAGAGGATTTCCAGGAATTAAATTAAGTTTAAAACTGACTGCTAAGAATGTGTTTGCTATATTTGACAAAAGCAGTTAGGTATGGTTAAAACACTTGGTTTATTAGAAATATTTGGATATTTCAACCAAAAATACTTTGATTCACGAGTTTCTGCCAGTTTTTATTTTAATTTTTTTGTCCTTTGTGTTTATTGTGAAATTTGTCTTAAATTTAACTTAATTTGGCATTAAAAAGTCTTAAAAGGTCTTAAATTTAACTTGCCTTTAACTGTAGGAACCCGCAGGGATGGCACGATTGCGTCACTTTTGGCGCACGCCTCCTCGCACCCGGTTCAACTAGGGTATCTAAGTTTTAGCAAGTCAAATTTAAGACTTTTTAAGACCACCACCTTGAATGAAATTTAAGACCAACAGTATAAGCGATGGTTCTGCAGAGACAGCCGGGGGAGACGGAGAACTAATCGCTTCTGCCCGACAAAATTTAAGACCTTTTGAGTAACAAATTTAAGACCAAATTGCACAGTTTTTTAAAACAAATTTAAGACTTTTTAAGACCACCACCTTGAATGAAATTTAAGACCAACAGTATAAGCGATGGTTCTGCAGAGACAGCCGGGGGAGACGGAGAACTAATCGCTTCTGCCCGACAAAATTTAAGACCTTTTGAGTAACAAATTTAAGACCAAATTGCACAGTTTTTTAAAACAAATTTAAGACTTTTTAAGGACCTGCGGACACCCTGTGAACCCAGCTTTAGCAGTGAAACGGCAAACTTCATGCAAAGCTGTTCAACATCGCCCTCAAAACATTTTCTAATGCTCTAAGTACTGAAAAATTCCCCTTACTRTCAGGTCTTTTAAAAATCTTCAAAGAAGACACACTCAGCCATTGCGACTCTTACTGAACTTGCTCAGTTGTTTATCCACCCATGTTTACAGGGCAGCTAATGTAAAGAGATACATCCTATTGGTCAAATACTTCCAAGCTTCTGTGTGATTTCCAAAACTCCTAAATGCAAACATCTGAGCTCACCATTTATTGCACTTGATGCCGTTTTTGGTGATTTGCCTATTACGCAGGCTGTTATCCCAGTGGCGATAAATGTTCCATATATTGTGCAGCCCCTGGTATAGGTTTAAGATGTAATAGGCTCAGATTGGCCATCGGTGGGCCTGTGGTGCAAAGTCAGTTTTTGTAGCTGCATTGTGCTCTTGCAGAAGAAACCTGTCCGTGAGAGCGCCCAGAGACAGCTCAGCTGCAGCTCTTCAGGAAGCCTGTCGCCCTCCAACCAAGCAGCAAATGTCCAAAAACCAAGCGCCAGGAGAGAGTGGAAGTACATCGCCTCTGAGAAGACCTCAAGTAAGTGTTTTTTGTCTCAAGTGACCACGAATGGTTTCTGCATAATAAAAAGATGTGATTCTTTACTTTTGTTCTTTTTTTTCCTCCTAGACAACAACTATTTGTGTCTGGCTGTGTTGGACGGCGTGCTGTGCGTGATCTTCATACACGGCCGCAACAGCCCTCAGACCTCTCCGACTGCCACTCCCTGCCTGGTGAAGAGTCTCAGCTTCGAGGCCCAGCCCGAGGAGGTGGAGGAGCACCCGCTCTCACCCATGCATTACGCTCGCTCCGGCCTGGGCACCGCGTCTCTGAATGGGAAACTCATCGCAGCAGGTTAGCACTGAATGAGGGATTTAAAGAAAAGACAAGTAAAATCGATCCATTTGACGCACCCTAACACCCTTTTCTGAACTTGTGTGTGTGTGTGTGTGTGTGTGTAGGAGGTTACAACAGAGAGGAGTGTCTGAGGACTGTGGAGTGTTACGATCCCAGCGAGGACTGCTGGACTTTCATCGCACCCATGCGGACTCCGAGGGCTCGGTTCCAGATGGCCGTGCTCATGGTAAAGTCTACTAGCCCTCCTTATCTCCAGTGTATTTACTTTATAATTAAAAGACGGATTGGATATCGGCTAAGCTTGCGTGTGTTCTGACGTGCTTTACTTGTTCTAGGTAAACACTTTAATCAAGCGTTTCAAATAGATTTTCTTGTGCTGTGCAATTCTAATCACCAATTCTTGTCCAACTCTCAGGGTCAGCTGTATGTGATCGGGGGTTCCAACGGACATTCTGATGAGCTGAGCTGTGGGGAGATGTACGATCCACATATTGACGAGTGGGTTCAGGTGTCAGAACTGAGGACAAACCGTTGCAACGCAGGTTGGTCCACTGTGCAAGGACTAGTGAGAGAAAAAAATTTAAAGTAGGCAGTGCCTTCATCAGCTTAGCCTTCTAGTTGAATTCACAGCTGTTGTCTTTGTGAAGGTGTCTGCTCCTTGAACAACAAGCTTTACGTTGTGGGAGGGTCGGACCCCTGTGGGCAGAAGGGCCTGAAGAACTGCGACGTGTTTGACCCTGTGGCTAAAACCTGGTCCAACTGCGCCTCCCTCAACATCAGTACGTTTCCGCCCCGTTTTGCATGCAGTACATTTAGAAATTGGAAAARAATTTAGGAACACCAATACAGTATAAAACGGTATACAAAGTGGCATTTTTAACCCAACTTTTGTTTTCAGGGAGGCACCAGGCAGCAGTGTGCGAGTTGGATGGCTTCATGTATGTGATTGGGGGTGCAGAGTCGTGGAACTGCCTGAACACCGTGGAGCGTTACAACCCTGAGAACAACACCTGGACCCTGGTGGCCCCCATGAATGTGGCTCGCAGAGGAGCTGCTGTTGCTGTCCATGCAGGTAACGACACYAAACTGTGGTTACAGCACCACTGTGATACATTTGTTTAATAAGGAATAACTTAAAATGTATATACATACTGTTGGTGACTCGTCCCATCAAACTGAGGATTAGGTCAAACTGTACAAAAGTACATTTTCACATTCCTGCTTTTAAAGCTGCACTGGGTTATACTGATATTCTGAGCAGTTCCAGAGATGTGGCTTGATTTTACGGCTGCCACGATTCGTCGACTAGTCGCGATTATGTCAGCTATTAATATCGCCAACGACTAATTTAATAGTCGATGCATCGTTTTTTTCTAAATTTGTGTTTTATTTTATTTTTTAAAGACCTATAAAATGATAAAAATATTTTTTTAAAAAGGTACTCATTTGTAGCAGTCCTAATTACCACTACTGCGCATGTGTATCAAGGACAGAAAGGCAGACGTGGCAGTGGAAARTGCCACAGCAGTTTGGAGAGAAAAACAAAGTTAGAAAAAAATGACGTACAATATCAACTATTACATTTGATCTAGATTTTAATAGTCGACAATAATTGTGGCTAGTTCACTAATTGTGGCAGCCCTACTTGATTTGTCTCGTTAATAACAATAATACATTGATATTTGGTCTGAATCCTATTATTAGGTTGTTCTAATGAAGAATTTTTGATGTCATTTTAAATAGGAGCACTCAAATAGAAATAAGATGTTGAGATTTCCTAGTTAGAGTGCAAGGGAAATGTAAAAAAAATTAAGACGTTTTTGCTCAAAGTCAACAACCCATTGCTAAAAGGCTTAAAGTGCCTGTGACATGCCTATTCTTCAAATACAAAAAGTCAAATAAAAAATCTTTATACTTAATAAAATTGGTATAGTACACATGATATTATCCATTTTGTTACATAACTGGCCTATTTTCTTTTGAATTTGGCTCTGCCAAAGTGAAACAGGAAGTGACATCAAAGAGGAACTCGTTAAACTCTCGGGTCTCAGTTTATTAAAACAAAATTATTTAAATTTTTTTGTCTCTTCGATAGCAACTAAAAATAATCTAAAGAAACATCAGATTCTTCTCTGCAGTCTGTGTTGTTAGCTTTTGTAACGACGCTCTGTTTACATTCAGACATTCCCCTTTGACATCACTTCCTGTTTCTTCACATGCAAATATCTCAACAACCGTGCATCTCAGCGACATGAAATTTGTTTTGCAACATGTTTATAAATGTTATCTTTCCAAAATTGCTTTCATGTTTATTACAAAAATTTGATGTCACAGGCACTTAAAAATATATATAATTTTATATGTCTGATAGTTTATTTAAATGATCCATTTAATAAGGCATTTATTTATTCAATGCAGTTCTTGCATTGTTTCACCGCATACCACTTTAGGACTTAACCCTCCGTTCGATGTGATGGGTCATGTATTCTAACGGAGAATTAATTTTTTTTTACGCGTTTCGTAGGCAAGCTGTTTGTTGTCGGCGGATTCGATGGCTCCCACGCTCTCCGCTGCGTGGAGGTCTACGATCCTGCCCGCAACGAGTGGAGGATGCTGGGCAGCATGATCTCATCACGCAGCAATGCGGGCGTGGCCATGCTGGGCCAAACCATCTACGTGGTGGGAGGCTTCGACGGGAACGAGTTCTTGAACACGGTGGAGGTGTACAACCCCGAGACAGATGAGTGGAACGACTGCACCAAAGCCCCGTCTCCCCTTTCTGACTGAAAGGAGGGAGTAAAGTGTGTGCGTGGGGGGAGAGGGGGCTTTGGAGGCTCACAGTGCTTCATCCATTTCCAAACTAACAGGCTTAGTGACGTAATCATGTTTCGTGATGTTTCTATGTGTATGAACGGGTGGGTGGGAGGGTGGGGATGTTAAGGTGAGGGGTCTTCAGTGAAGACTGGCCTAATCTTGGCAAATAGGGAGGTGGGTGGGGTCGTTGCCCAAAGCAACATGAAGCCTTTGCATATTGCATACATTGTTTCTGTTCTGTATATAATTTGTTTCTTCCACAATAATTTTTTGTCATATGCCAACGTATATTACACGTTTAGTGCTTTTATTTTCTCCTCAAGTTTAAGACTTTGATGGTTTTCAGATGAGTTTTCAACTTTTGGGTCACGTATAAGGTGGCCGTACTGAGTGGTGACGATTTTTGAGTTCAGAAAACCTGTTTTTAATTTAAGAAAATCTCTTGTGGAAATGTAATTTTGCTCACATATTCAAAAGTGGATGCTTTCAAAGCCTTACTCCGTGTGTGAGTGGATAAACACCTGTCACAGCTTTTTTTTGTCATTTTAAACAAGCTGGATTGCTTTTTTGACTCTTAAATGATGGCCTTTTTTATATTTTTATACACCAATTTATCAGTAAACGGTAGAAGTAGAAGCAGACAGCTTAATAAGTGAGTAAATCTAATCAGTGCCAGATTTAGTTATTTTTAGTGCACACACCAAATACGCACAACCATGCTTCTGCTAACCAAATTTATTATTATTATTATTATTTTTTAAATGTGATTGAACTAGATATATGTAGAGGTACATATTGACATTTCTTTTTTTCTCTTTTGTGTTTTTAAAGTGTCAGGCATTGGCAGATTTCTCTGGCAGGAATTTTAGTGCAAGAAACAAAAAAAATCACATTTGTATTGTAACAACAGTTCTTAATTAATAAATCATTTAAATCTGATTTTGTCTTCTGTCTTTTTTATGCATGTCAAAATTAGACTTATTGGGAATTACATTTTTGAGAAAACGTAACAGATTTGTATCTTCAACAGGAAGATAAAAGGGTTGTCGGCCCTTTTTTTAACAATCAGCAGTTGCCAATAAATGTTTATAATACAAGCAGTGGATTTATTAATCTAAATATAGCCTTTACCTCTTTGCTTCATTATATTTCTGCCCCTACAGTCTCAACCTAGCCATCTCAGGGTCTCTGCTCTGTTAGTTTCTTGGGAACTGCCTTAACAAACCAGGATATTTACTGTTCCATTGGAGGAAATTAGACTAAACAAGCATGACAGTGTTCGTTTCAGGCTGCGGAAGTGTTGAAAAAKGGTGGGCTGTCTGCCAGAACCAGTTAACCCCACCCCCAATCCATCTGTGCTCATTCACAGGTTGGATGATTTCTGCTGACAGCTTGAAAAAAAAAAAAAAAGGGCCACGTGTGAAGAAACTCCTTGTGCAGATACARGTCCAACTAATGGATATTATAGCAATAAGACAATTTCATTTAGAAAAGTAAACCAGAGCTATGTACAAATACAGTAAACATTTTCCTCTGCTCAACAGAAATTCTGACACTTTTTTTTTTTTTGTTCAAACCATCAGTCCAGTCAAAACACGTCAAAACACATTAGATAATGTTTAATCTGAGTTTAGTGTGCAATTATTTATAGGACAAAGTTCTGATGTTTATTTGCTCATCTGCTTCCTTTTGCCTCTGCCTGCCCCACGTCTGCTGGGTGAACCTCTGACACAGTAGCAGCCGACGTAATCCCAAGTCTGCTGCCCTCAYCTGAGTCTAATCTCTTGTCGTCACACATGCAGCCAAGCGGTCATCCACAGGAAATCGGTCCAAGCACATGTACTGAAACACACAGAAAAAGCTGCAGCTTAAAAGGTTAGTGAGTGCCAAAACCATTAACTACATTCACTGAACTCAGGGAGGTGTTCTAATAAAGAGACGGTRCAGAAAAAGATTAACAAACATTTAATAAAGGCTTCATTTCTGTGTGCAAACAGCATTTTTTTTTTAAATAAAAAAGATTGTTACATGTAATACAAGTAAAAAAAAACATACCGGTACATGAGAGTGAAACTAAACTCTTTTCCCTTGATTTCTTTTTATGGCACTTCTTCACTACTTGCTGTTGGACATTGTAAGTTTTGGGCTGACCCCAACCCCAGTTTTGTGTTTTCTAAAGTTTTAAAACACCAGAAGCTTCACTAAATGATTTAATAATTTAAAATATAATCAAATCCTTTCCAAATGAAAAATTTCCACATGTACTGTAATTATTTGCTCCTAGTTTTTGATGTGTMAACTGAATTTTTGATTGTTTACCTAGAGAAGGCTCGTTAACTCAAACATTTTTTATGTTTTTTTATTTATTTTTTTTACATTTAGGACATGCACACCAAAAACCCAAAAGAAAAATTAGTGTAGAAAAACTAATTGTATGCTTTACATTTGCATAAATACTGATTAAATGACAGGATGCTGAGGTCAATGGTAAAGCTGGGTTATTTGGAGAAGCATCTTTTATAAAGGTAGAGAACATCCATTCATTTGAAGGAAAGTACCGTCTTAAAGGGTTTATCGTAGGAAAGTGTGGTCCACGACAGATATGCCTTCAAGCTTAGGTTTTACTTCAAGTAAAAACAAGTTTAATTTCAGGCATGTGTTTGGTCGATGTGCGGTCAGTGTGACCCTGCTTTAAACGGCACTATGTGGTGAAAGAGGTGTGCCGGCCTGTGACCTGAACGCAACAGTCCAACGCCTTTTTCAGCTCCATCAACTGGTTCCCTAAGACTCGCAGCTTCTCCCTGAGAGCAGATGAAAAGGAAAAAAAAAAATGCTTGGTAGACATAAAGAGATAAAAACTCAAGAAGACAGATGAAGCCATGAAGTGGGAGGAGTGCTTGACAAATGAATATCGCTTAAAATGCTCCATTTTTCAACGTGTTGTCAGTTTGACAGCCTGCCTTTAAAGAAATGTTTAAAAAGAAATAATTTTTCAGCAGTTTCTTACATTTTGAATTGTGTAGAAAAAAAGGGGGTAAAGGCTGGCTGGCACACCTGATAAATAAACAAGTAATTAACACGCTTCTGCAACTTAAAGAGGTCAGTAATTTAATCAGGTGTGTTGACGCAGAGAAACAAGTAAAACCTGCAGAAAAGTAGACCAGAATATAAGTAGACACCTCTGTGTTATGTGCTCAGATTGTC